GAGGGACAGCGCCCAGGCCCAGAGTTCAAGCCCCATGATCGACCAAAAAAAAAAAAAAGAAGAAATTGCCATTGACTGCTGGTAACCACATTTATCAGTGTTGTAAAAGCTTAAATATCTTTCATTCATAGTATTTTAAAGTATTTTCATGATGTGTTTTCATTTTAAGGTGACAATTTTCTGTTTGGACTTCAGTCAGATTTAGTAAGCAGTCTTAACTCATTCCCCAAAACATACAGATATCATAAAACCAGCATATAAAAATGCACAAAAAAGGTATGTTTTAAAAATTACATTGTTGGGGCTGGGAAGATGGCTCAGTGGTAGAGCGTTTGCCTTGCATGCCTCTGAGGCCCTGGGTTCAATTCCTCAGCACCACATAAGCAAAAAGAAAAAAGCCGGAAGTGGCGCTGTGGCTCAAGTGTTAGAACGCTAGCCTTGAGCTGAAGAGCTGAGGCCCCACAACCGGACCCCCCCCCCAAAAAAAAAATAAAAAGCGTTATTCTGTAAGGTGCCAGCCACTCTTGTGATTCCGGACACATAACCACTGGCTTGTGCCTGTAATCCTAGTTACTCAGGAGCCTGAGTAGCAAACTGAGGATTATAGTTTGAAGCCACCCCAGCCAGGAAAGTCTATGAGACTTTTATTTGCAGTTGATCAAAAAGCTACAAGTGGAAGTGTGGCCATGAACAAAAAAGCTAAAGGGCAGTGCCCAGGCTCTGAGTTCAAGCCAGAGTATCAACATAGCATGAGGAAGGGAAGGGGCATGGAGAGAAAGAGGGAGAGAAGGAGGGAGGGGCTCATAAGTAAAACAAAACACTAAACATTTACCTTACATATTATATAAATATAGTTTGTTAAAGTAGGCAGATGCCTGCCCAGTTAATATAGACAAACTTTTCTAAAATTGAATGAATTCAGATATTTAAATGCTTGCTGAATGAAATGCATAGTAATATGCACTTGAGCCAAAACACCAGTAAGGTAAGTTTTTTAATTTCAAGGAATTTATTAAGGAAGTTTGAAGGAAAAAAATTAAAATTCTCCACAGAATTGTAATGATTAAAGTTGGCTTGAGCTCTGTTCTTTCTCTCTGTGTCTCTGTGTATCTGTCGTTCCATCTTTCTCTCTCTCTCTATGTATGTGTGTCTGTGTGTGTGTGTAAAGGTATATATAGAGAAGACAATTCAGGGTTTTGTGGTACTGGGGATTAAACTAGAGCCATATGCATGCTAAGCAAATTCTCTACTACTTGAGCCAATACCCCTAGCTTTTTTGTTTTATATTTTGTTTTTAAGATAGGGTCTTGCCTGGACTGGCCTCAAACTCTTGATTTTCCTACCTCCACCTACTAAGCAACTGGTATGAATCTGTTCCGAGACTATTTGAATGATTGCAAACCTTAATGGTAGGTGAGACTTATGTGTGAATGAGCTTTTTGGGTCAAGGTAATAGTTTATGCAGAAATAAAAAGTGTGACTTGTTTAGGGAGCTACACTGTTTTGGTAGTGTAAGAGCTTGGGGTGCTAAGGTTAGATTGAAGATCTCATTGTCTTCAGAAATGCTTGTAGGGCAGTGGTTTTTACCCTTATCTACACATTGTAGTTACCCAGGGAGGTTTTGATTTTAATTCACAGTTATTCTGTTTCAGTCTCTTTTGAGCTTGGTCCAATATTAGCAACTGTGAAAGATAGTTTGGGTAAGGAAGCCTGGGTTCTGGGAGAGAGTTCAGATTAGTAATCATCATCCCCCTACTGGGTTTACAGGCATGCTGGGTTTATAGGCATATACCACCACACCAACCTTACTTACCTTTTGAGATGAATTATTTTGAACTGTAGAACAATCTTGGTTTTATTGGTCAAGATTCACAGGTGTGAAAAGTTTTATTTAAATCTGTTATTGACTTAAGCTTTCCCTGGCTCAGGGATTGATAGTGAAGAAGATTGCACTCTCACTCTTCTCCTCCCTTGTTGCCCCTTTCTTCATTTTCTCTTTCTGATTAGAAGGAAGATTTGAAGAGAAAGGATAAAGTGTTACATGACAGGGACTGTTGTTAATATAGCTGTTGCTAATATCTGTGTGTCAGGTGTCTAAATGTAACTTTAGAGTTGAATTCATAGGATGCTGTTTTGGGAGGACCTTGTGGGTCTGTCCACAGTGCCTAGTTCTCTTGCAGCTACCTGTGCAACTTCCCTTTTAGCTCTTGCTTCCTGTAATCAATTCTATAGTCTGCTAACTGCAGGGTCCTATCAAGATGCCTTAGCCCTTGTTCTGTACTACTTGGCCAATGGAAACTTGTATAACCCCAGGGGTAGGGTGCAATTTACCTAACTGTTGTCTTCTACATTCTTTTCCTGTGATAGCTCCATCCATCTTATTCTTTTGCAGACTTTTCAGATCTGGGCCCAGTTTTCTGTGTTACATATTCCCCTATACTCCTGAGAATATGTGACAGCTACTCCTAAAGCCTCACTACCTTGTATTGTTGTGATGACCAAAATGGACTTGACGGTTTATCTCAATAAGTTATAAACCAAAGATTCAGTTGTCACTTGTCCCTTTTAAAATTACTGCCAGTCTTCCCAGAGGCCTTCTTGGATCACCCTTGCCTTTGTTCACTGGATTTTGTGAGAGCCCAGTTAGGTGAATGGTTCTCAGCTTTAGCTGTACTTTTTAAAACACTTAGGGCCTCTTTTATTTCTTCTTCACCTTTCTTCTCCTTTCTTCTTCTTCCTCCTCCCCCTCCTCCTCCTCCTCCTCCTACTTCTCTTCCTTCACCCTCTTTTTCCTCCTCCTCCTCCTCCTTTTTTTTTGTTTTTTCCCAGTCTTGGGGCTTGAACTCAGAGTCTGGGAGTCCTGGGGCTTGAATTCAGAGTCTGGGCACTGTCCTTGAGCTTCTTTTGCTCAAGGCTGGCACTCTACCACTTGAGCCAAAGTGCCACTTCTGGCTTTTTGGTTTATGTGGTACTGAGGAGTAGAACCCAGGGCTTCATGCATGCCAGGCAAGCACTCTACCACTGGGCCACATTTCTAGCCCCATTTGGGTGCCTCTTCAAGATACTTATTTGCTGGCTTCTCTCCTGCCAGACCCCATTAATTCAGAACATCTAGAGCTGGACATAGGCACCAGATTTAATGTTTTAAGTGCCAACATGTAGACCAAGGTACAGAATCACAAAGTAGTATGCTAGTATGAGCTAGACTAGAGCTATAGGGCTACTAGTGAAGTAAGATATAAAACCCTAAAATCCTGTTATACTCTTTGTTGTTTGAGAAAAGTCTTAATGTGTAGCCTTTTTGAACCTCCTGCCTCCTGAGTGCTATGATTACAGCTGTGTACTACCACATTCAGCTTTTTTTAAAAAGAAATATAAAATTATGGGGCTGGGAAGGTGGCTCAGTGGTAGAGCACTTGCCTTGCATGCATGAGGCCCTGGGTTTGATTCCTTAGCACCACATAAGCAAAAAGAAAAAAGCCGGAAGTGGTGCTGTGGCTCAAGTGGTAGAGTGCTAGCCTTGAGCTGAAGAACTGAGAGACAGCGCCCAGGTCCAGAGTTCAGGCCCCACGACTGGACCCCCCCCCCAAAAAAAATAAAATTATTTACTACTATTCACCACTATTCCTAATAGAGTAAATGGTATACAATTGGGGATTATTCTGATTACAACAAAGTTGTTTTCCTGGCTTTCGCAGAACCAGTATCTCAGTACTGAAAAGACTGAGCCTCTGTGAAAGGAATGAGTTGGGGTAAAGAAAAAGCATGCAGATCAATAATGATAATTTATGCTATTAGGTCCTGAATTGTGAATATATCTAACCAGCTGATTTATTACATTTCTATGAGCCAAGCCTTAGATATTATAAGAATAAGGATGGCTTACTGCAGGCACCCTTAAATGTCTGCTTGGTCTTGCTTAACTAATTGAAGAAAACCAAGATTTTTCTAATTTTCTGATCTGGGTGGGGAAATTGTTGATAAAAAAATTTTTTTCAGGGAATTTTGTAACTGTTTTGTAACTATTATGTTTATGTGTTTGTGGCAGAAGCAGGAAAATAAAAGTTTAGGGCCAGCCTGGGCTGCATAGCAAGTTCAAGGCTAGCCTGAGCTGTCTAGCAACTCTATCTCAAAGAAAGAAGGGCTGAGGTTGTAGATCAGAGGTATAGTGCTTGCCTACAATGTAGAATGAACCAGGTTTAATCTCTGAAACTTCAAAACAAACTTTCCCAAACAGAAACCTTCTCTGTAACTGTTTTATGTATACACACATAAATAAATGAAAACCAAATTTGGTCCTTTGATAGGGCCTTTAAAGATAAGTTCTGATTAAGTAATGACATTTAGAAAAACCTGTTATTGAATGCAGAGGAGC